TGTTTTATCTTTACAATTTTCTTGTCCAAAACTTCCAACGTATATACACAGCTTTGATGTGTTAATATAATCGCATTTCAGCTTCTTCATTTAAAGTTTCATGTCAGACTTATTATTTTTTTTTCCAGTTATTCAAAGCACACAAACAGTGACAGGGTTAGCATATTGAAGGATTAAATCTGTATATCACATATTCTTTCTTGTTAACCTTTTCACAGATACAATAAGATCTGCAACGTATTACAATCATTTCAAGTTTTGTTCTAATCTACCTGTTCCAGGTTGGGTTGAAGTAATAGCAAAAGGGTTTTTCAAGTTAAAGCAATGGGTTGAAGTAATAGCGAAACAGAAAAAACTAAGTGACTTTGGATCTGAGCTTTAAAAAAAAACTGTATTCCATTTTCCTCTAAATGTCCATCACATGACCAAATTTCAAAAGAAGTTGTTTTCTAACGTTTATTTATTTTTGACAGATAGAGCCCAAGTGGGGAAGGGGCAGAGAGGGAGACAGAGGATCTGAAGCAGGCTCCGCACTGACAGCATAGAGTCCGACATGGGGCTGGAACCCACAAACCGTGAGCTCATGACCTGAGCCAAATTCGGACACTTAACCAACTGAGCCACCCAGGCGCCCCACCAACTTTCAAAATTTTAAAGAATTTTATACAAGTAGCAGTCTATTAGACATCTCAGAATGCTAATTTCTGTTTTTTTTTTTTTACAGTAAATCATCTCTTTAAAACAAAACTTCACATAATTAAGAACATTCTCTTTTAGCAATGGTCTTCTCATCCAACCTACTCATTTTGTTTCTATCTTGTCTGAATATTTTATAAGGGATGCATTACTATCGTGATAATAAAAAGATTGTTTTGCATTGGTTAACACTAAAGGCAGTGCATGGTAACGGTCAAACAAATGGTACAAAATGGCTGATTAAGTGTCAAGAAAATTTTGGCGGTTAAAAAAGATGGAGAGGAGGGGCGCCTGGGTGGCTCAGTCGGTTAAGCATCCGACTTCAGCCCAGGTCATGATCCCGCAGTTTGTGACTTCAAGCCCAGGTTTGGGCTCTGTGCTGACAGCTCAGAGCCTGGAACCTGCTTCAGATTCTGTGTCTCCCCCTCTCTCTGCCCCTCCCCTGCTCACACTCTGTGTCTGTCTCTCAATAATAAATAAATGTTAAAAAAAAATTTTTTAATTAAAATAAAAAGAGGGAGAGGAGTTTCAGCATTCAAAAACTAAAGCAAACACAAACAATTTAAAAACAAATCCTGTTCCTTTTTCCACTTTGTACATCTCCTACTCTATAGCTATTGAGCCACTAGGTCAGCAAGGCTCCCAGAAGACCCAGACAGACCCTGTCCCAACGTGCCTGTATTCCTCCAATGCTGCCACTCAAAGACCACTAAACATATAGATGTTCAACAAATGAATCACTCTCATGATTCCTATATCCCAGTCCTTTTTTTTCCTTTATTTTTGCTCTTGCACATCTCAAACTCTTAAGACTTTCTATATTGGCCACTTGAAGTTACTTAATTTTCTTAATTCCTTCTAGGTAAACATCAAACAAGGGCAAACCTTTGAATAGCCAAAACACAAGTCTCAGAGAGCAAAAACTGTTCATTTTATGTGGATCTCCTTACAGGTCTCACTAAAATCCTGTTTTCTCTGCTTTATTAAAAAATCTATTTCTAATATCCCCGGTTACCTAGTTTTCACCACAAATTAGAAACAGGACACTGAGAGTCTCCCTATATTAATAGAACATTCATCCTTTCTTTCGTTACAGTAATTCTACTCAAATACTATATCAAAAATAGATATCAGGGGCATCTGGGTGGTTAGGCAGCCGACTTCGGCTCAGGTGATCTCAAGGTTTGTTCAAGCCCGTATCAGGCTCTGTGCTGACAGCTCAGAGCCTAGAGCCTGGAGCCTGCTTTGGATTCTGTGTCTCCCTCTCTCTGCTCTTCCCCTGGTTGTACTCTCTTTCTCAAAAATAAACATTAAAAAAAATTAAAAATATAAAGATATTAAAAAAAAATCACTATAAACATTTCTGAAATTTAAATCCACTAAAATGAAATCCTACAAGGGGTTCCTGGCTGGCTCAATTGGTGGAGCACAGGACTCTTGATCTTGGGGTTGTAAGTTCAAGCTTCACACTGGGTGTAAAGATTACCTAAAAATGAAATCTTAAAAAAAAGAAAAGAAAGAAATCCTACAAATCATGTTAATGTAAATGCTCCATATCAACGATTAAATGTTTTCATTTCTTGCTCCAAACAATGCTAGTTTTTATATTTATATAAATAGTAACACAATTATATTTAGAAAAATGGCAACAAAAAGCTGAAAAAGCCAATCTCCATGACAATGAACTTTCTAAAAATACGCTTTTAGAAGCGTATATTTATAATTTGTGTAACATAAGACATTCCCTTGTAAATAAACTGGTAAACAGCAAATATAGTTAAGAATATATGCAAAAACAATATTGGCTCTAAAATAATTAATGCACAAAATGCCTACAAATCTTACAGAACAGCCAGTAGAGCTATAGAAAGTCAGGGCATAACTTCAATTAATCCACAGATATTTACAAAAACCTCCTTGAGGCTTCAATAATTCTGGAATTAATTCAGAACATCACAAGCTGGTAAAGTTCCTGTGGCACCAGTATTACTGCAAAGAACCAAATTCAAATAGACATTTTATAAAAAGTTTTGTCTGAAAGCGTTAAACAGACAGCTGCACTTTAACTTTCATCCTTTAACTTACTAGTACACACTAAGCCATAAAGAAACATTCAAGAAAAATCTGACTTTTATTAGTAATATCAATCCACAGGGTGTTGTCAGTTACTCAGGATACTGAAGTTACTCATCTATAATTGCTATCTCCTGTACTTTAAGAATTTATCAGAAAGCATACTTCTACATATTATTGAAATAAAATTATTTTGTGCCACAATTCCACAAAGATTGGAAACTATGTTTCTTAAATAATTGAAGATGCAGAAAACTTCAGGTTAAGTGAGACAGGTAAAACTTAACACTATATCCTCACCCAAAGACAGCCATTGCTAATGATCGATTTCATTTACTAACCACCAATTAAATACCATTATATCCTCACATCTCCGAAAGGCAGGTACATAGCAAATAAGTTAGAGGCACAAATGGCACTGGTCTATTTAACACCAAGAACCCTGATCTCCACCAAAAATAGAATCAACTATTTTTTTAAATATAGATTGTTAAAAAGTAGCTGGTTTAAACTTAACATGTCAATCTTAATGGTGTAAAGGAACCACAATTCAAAAACAAAAGCAATAGATTTACACCGGTGGCGTTTTTAGATTCTTGGCATAAAGTTGTACTGACATCTTGCAGTCACAAATACAGACGATGGCACGAGAATTTACCACGTGGACTTTCGAAGTGTTCCTGGGTTTGACGACAGAAGAGATTCAAAGTTTTTATTTTCTTTTTTTCTTCCCTGAAATTCTGTTATTTGGGGGCCGGGGGAAGGGTGCAGGGTTTCCAATACCTACATTAGAAGACTTCTACCACAGAGGAGTCATTAACCTGAAGTTGAGTGTGAGCCTGGATTTGAAGGGCTCTAACGCAAAAAATCTTCACCACCACACAGGCCTGGAAGTGCGAATTACGTATGGGTGTGGGCTTGGTGGCGGGAGAACTGCGGCTAAACGATTCACGATAGTATATGCAAATAAAAGGATTACCAGTTCTAGAGAAGAGGCAAATAATTCATTTTCACCACTCACCTTTCGCTCTGCGGCTGACGGAACCTGATAGCTTTTTTTAAAAGGCTCATTATCTTCAGTTACCACCTCCTAGACCTTAGCGCCTAACCAGGTCCGAGCAGGGGTGGTGGCGACGCCTACAACTCCCTCCCGCACCTAAGCACCCAGAGAGCCCGGCTCCATCACCGAGGAGGCCTTGACCTCCCCTCCCCCTCTGGCCCCACTACCGAGAGCTCCCGGGCCCAGGCCTCCTGTGCCCGGCGGCCGTGTGCTCCACGCCATCTGCCACCAGGGCCTCGGCGTCCGGCCACTGCTTCCCCTTACTCCTGCCACAAAGCCTGCGGCCAACTCCGAAGGCTCGCGTGGGCCGCACGCCGCCGCGGCCCTGAGTCCTCAGGCCTTAACCAGCTCCCGGAGCTCGAGCCCCACGCTCGCTGCGCACTCCCGGGTGTGCTGAGGGCTCTCTTCGATCGGGCGCTCTGCCGGGCCCTGCTCGGAGCTGAAGCCCAGGCCCAGCGCACAGAACCGCCGCACCGCCCCCCGCTCAGGCCCGGCGGCCCCCTAGCGCTCCCCGAGTCCCGCGCGCGGCCGCCCCCGCCCTGCCCGGGCCCCGCGCTCCCCACCGCTCGCACCGTCTCGTCGGGGTCTATGTCGATCTTGAAGGTCTGCTGCTGGAGGGTCTTCAGGGTGACCAGCATGGTGCCGCCGCGCAGCTCCGCTGCCGGGCCTGCTCCGGGTGCTGGCCGCTGGGCGGGGTCTGTGGCCTGGCGGGGCCCCGGGGTCGCCCGCGCTCCTAGCGCACTCGGGAGGAAGGCGGTGGGGGTGGGGGCTTGTCACATTCGCCCTGCGGAGCGGCCTCTCCCCCAGCCCTGGGCCCGGGCCGCGCCGCTGCCTCCGCGACTGCGGCCTTCCCCGAGAGTTTGGGCCGCCGTGCTTCCTCACGCGCCCGGCGCCAGCCACTGAGTCCAAGAGGCACGAGTGGTCTGCGAGACAAGCAGAGAATCCGCTAGCTCACCACAAGCTGGTGGCCGCCATCAACGTGACTCGCCGAGACGCGCCCCCTCCCCCACCCGAAAAAATCTGGGGGATGGGGCCGGGCTGGCTAATCACGCAGGCGTAGGGTGCGGCGAGGCTGTGCGCAGGCGCAGCCAAGAACTCCGCCCCGGAATTGGGGCTGGACGGATTGCGGCCTTGGAATGTAGGCGGCCTGGATCGAGGGTGCGCAGGCGCAGTCAGTGGGCTCCTCGAGGGCTGTCGGGGCTTCCTTGTGGCGTCTGCACCCGGGGCGTTCTCCCGCCGGTCGCTGCTCCGCCTACGTCCAGGCTCCTCCCGGCTGCCTGAGTTGCGCAATCCGTAGCCGGGGAAGCGCTACGTGGAGACCGCGCTAAGTGGAAGCCGAGCTCTGGAGCTGGGGAACAGGAGGGCGGTAGGTTGAGGCGGGGTTTGAGTGAAAGGATCGTGGTAACCACGGTACTGGGCCGGCGCTTACTGGGCGCTTGCCGTGTGGATGAGCCACTGTGGTGACGACTCTGATCCTTTACTCCTGAGAGCGCAGACCCCTGTGCCACACTGCCTGGGTGGACCTTGGGCGTAAATAGAAGGACCGATATAGGAGGTCAAGTTCTTTCACTCCTCTGGGCGGAACTGTCCAGTGGCTGCTGTCACCCAGAAGTCAGACTGCTTGCAACTGGATACATAGCCCTTGCCTTTCCCCACGTCTCCCTCCTCTCCCTTGCGCTCGGGTGGTTGGTGGGTACTAGGCACGTGCTCCTGCCTGAGAGCCTGCCTTTGCACTTGTGCCCACTCCTGACTCCTCTTTACCCAGATGCTTGAGTGGCGGCTCACTGTCTCGCCTCCTTCAAACCTTTGCTCAAAAGTCACCTTCTCAGTGAGGTCTACCCTAATACTCGGCTGAAAACCGTAACTACACTAGCTTTATTATCCTGTTCTGTTATCTCTATAGCATTTATCATCTTATAATTACTAGATAATATACATATTTATTAAGTTTATCATCGTTCTTTTCCTCAAACCACAGACTGAAACTGCACAAAAGCGAGGATTTTGTTGTGTTAACCGATGTGTGAAGAAACGTGCCTGACAGCAGGCACACGATAAATATTGGAATGGGTAAATGTGCTTCCAGTCCCTCATCAGTAAGGCACAGATAATAATAACTCAACTCCATTGATTTTGGAGGGGGGTGTTGAATAACGTATGTAAAAACTTAGTACAAGGAACATAGTAAGCATCACCTTAGTAGTTAGCTATTTGTAGTATGCTCATTTACAGATAAGAAAAGTGGAGTGCAGAGATGCTGAGTAATGTGCCTGGAGTCACCCATCTAGTAAGTGACAGATGCAGCATTTGAACCCAAGCAGAATAACTCCAGAGAACTTGCTCCAGGTGTCCGGCTGCTCTCAGTAAGGTACACATTTGACATAAAGTGGTTCAAGTATAAAGGAAAATAACAGTTATACCACTAACCATGTGGCTAGTTGCAAATTACATCTCTGTGCCATGATTCTGACTGATATAATGTCCCTGCTTGATTTTTCTTGGATCTTAGCGCTCAGATAGAATTCTTCCATGGAACTTTCTTTCCCTGACCAACTTCCCTCTCCACTGACCTGGCATTTCCCCTTTCACAGCACGTATCTCCTTGTATTGTAATTCAATATCTAATCCTCTGCCGTCTGTATTCCTGTATATCCACTGTTGGTCACCAGGTGATCTTATCTTGTCCTTTGTTTTGAAATACCTCCAGCTTGGACCTGTCCCCTTCAGTGTAGACAGAGTTAGCCAATTGCCTAAACAATATCTTCACTTAGAGTATAACAACCTTCTGAAGACTATCACAACCAAACAGAACCATTGATTTTTGTCTGGACCTCTCTTTCCCCTGAAACCTGCTTTTCTCCCAGTCTTCCCCCATTTTAGTTCATGATACCAGTATCTACCCAGGTGCTCAGATCAAAAATCTAGTCATCATCCCTGGTAAATCTCTCCTTTGTTCCTGTCTTCCCATCCACCATATCTAATCCATTATCGAGTCCTGTCAACTTTATTCTCCAAATTATATCCCAAAGTCAGCCATTTTTACCATTTCTAATTGTACAGCCTTAGGCTAATCCGTCATTATCTTTCACCTGCCTCCCAACTGGTCTCTCCACTTCTATTCTTTTCCCCATTAGCCTCCCCAGCAATCAGAGTAGTCTTTTCAACCGTAAATCAAATCATGTCACATCTATTCTTTTTTTTGTGTTTATTTTTGAGAGAGAGAGAGGCAGAGAGAGGGAGACACAATACGAAGCAGGCACCAGGCTCTGAGCTGTCAGCACAAAGCCTGATGTGAGGTTTGAACTCACGAACTGTGAGATCATGACCTGAGCCAAAGTCGGATGCTTAACCGACTGAGCCGCCCGGGCACACCTCACATCTATTCTTAATACCTAATTACACTTGAGAATAAAATTCAAACTCTTTACCTGGCTTTTAAGAATTCACATGATCTGAGTCCTGCCAGATTCTCTGGCCTCATCTCTTTTCTTCTGTCTCTGGCTTATTCACGGCCATCCCTCTGCACCAGCTTTCTTTCATGCTCCAAGCAGGCTAAGCTGGTTCTCACCTCTGCAGTTGGCAGTAATGGTCACTTTAGCCTGAAACTGTCTTCCTACATCTTTGAATGGCTAACTCCTTTTCATCATTCAGATTGCAGGTCCTATTTTACTTCCTTGGAGAGCATTTCTCCAAAAACTGCAATGATCTATAATAAACGTATAATAACCCTCTAGGTGAGGCTCCATCCTACTCTGTTTATGTGGATAATTTCATTTGGGCCCCAACAAAACTATGTGAGATAGGTGCAACATTACCCTGGCTTAAGTTTTTTCATGGACCTACTTGAAATTATTATTTTTCAACCTGTTTATGGCCTGTCTCACAATACTACTCGCTTCCCATCTCTGTATTTTAGGGGCAGAAACTCATTTGCCTTACTCATGGTCTTTCCCAAGCACCTAGAACAGTGCCTGGAACACAGTAGGTGCTCAGTAGTGTATGTTGACTGACTCCCAACTCATTTGTAAGCTCCATGAGGCCAGGTGTTGTGTCAATCTTGCTCATAATGGTATCTTTAAAGTATAGTGCAATGTGAATGCTCAATATGCATTGCCTGAAAAAATGGTGAAGGAACTTTAGTTAACATTTTAGTTGAAATTTAAATAGTTGTAAGAAAGCCTGTGAAAACATTTTATAATTTATTGTAGTTTTTTTTATATTTTATTATAAATTCATTCACTTATAATATGAAGTTATAACTTACTTTATTATAACATAACCTTTTATTATATTAAATTTATTATACTTTTATTTATTGTATTTATTTGTTATAATTAAAACCTTTCCTGCTACAACTGCTGTTATCCATCTGAAGTAAAAGGGCAGTGAGAAATGCCTCTCCATATATTGGAGTATATTTTTTAAAAAATCTTTTGCTTGTGGCAAAATAAATAGATATTTAGAAATATTGATTTAGAAATATTCTAGAAATATCTAGAAATAACCACCGTTTTGAGGGTCTTTAGAAATTTTCTAGATACATATATGAGAATATATTCTTTCAAATAGTTGTGGCAACAGTAGATTTTAAATGCCAATTGAAAGATTCACCTGATACATTTTCTAAAGTCCAGTGTTCAGATAAAAGGTTGTTTTTGTTTTCTTTTAATTTCTGGAAAAACTGTATGCCAGGCATAACCACTCTTGGCCCAATAGCACAGGTTGGACAGGCTGTATGCCTCCTTGGAAGATGTAGTAGCCTTTACTCAGAGTCCCACAGTTCACATGATAGATGATAGGACCTCACTCCCCAACTGTCCCTGTAAAGGCCACTGAGGTGAGTTTGCTCATGAGTAAGGCCTTGTAGGATAAAGGCCTTCTTCAAGAGCTATTGTGCAGGATAAAAAGATGGGTAGGAGTTGTTAATTCCAAATACTTGATAACAAGGTTGGTAATTTTGCTTTCATTTTTGGAAATCAGTCAAATGATTTCAGAGAAGTAGATGAGCAAGCAGAGATTTAGCAACTGCTGACTTACGGCAAAAATGCCAGACTTCAAGCTATTCATTCAGCAAATAGTTGTTGAGACTCTCTCCATTCCAGGAACTGTTCTGGGTGCTGTGGATACAATAGGGAACAAAACAAAGTCCCCCTCATGGAGTTTATATTCTAGTGGGATAATAGATAAAGAAGTAAAAATCAAAGATATCTACAATCAGGTGATAAGTGCTATTTTAAAAAAAAAATTTTTTTTCAACGTTTATTTATTTTTGGGACAGAGAGAGACAGAGCATGAACGGGGGAGGGGCAGAGAGAGAGGGAGACACAGAATCGGGAACAGGCTCCAGGCTCTGAGCCATCAGCCCAGAGCCCTACGCGGGGCTCGAACTCACGGACCGCGAGATCGTGACCTGGCTGAAGTCGGACGCTTAACCGACTGCGCCACCCAGGCGCCCCAAGTGCTATTTTTTAAAAAACACATGAAGAGGTTTGGGGCACCTGCATGGCTCAGTCAGTTAAGTATCCAGCTCTTGATTTAGGCTCAGGCATGATCTCACAGTTCATGTGTCCGAGCCCCACATTGGGCTGTGCGCTGACAGAGGAGCCTGCTTGGGATTTTCTCCTTCTCTCTCTCAGCCTCCCCTACTCGCACATGCTCTCTTTCAAAACTAATAAATAAACTTTAAAAAATTAAAAGAAATAAAAACAAAAAGCACATGAAGAGGATCAACAGTGTTCAGAAAAGTAGAGTTGCTATAGAGAATGTGCCAGATACCTGTCATTCCTTTTCCTCCCATCATTCTTTCTTCCCTCTTCTTTCCTCAGCAATTGGCTCCAAGAAGGCTGACCTATGTGGACTACCACAACTGACTTCCTGGGAGTCCCTGCAGGAGATAGGAGTGAGCAAAGAGAGTGAAGTTAGGGAATTTATTCTTTGTGGTAGGTAGTGCTCTTTATTACAAGGTCATTGCTTCTGTAGGGTGGTCCTCCAGGGGGCAGAAAGGTACCCAGTAGGTCACTGGGATTGGTAAATGGGACCACTCCTGCTTCCCTACCTTGGTTCCTGGACCCAAATAGTCTTCCTACTGGGGAAACAGTGCCCTGTAGGCTTCTCTGATTCAGTGTATAGATTGCATTCTGGAGAATGAAACCCTGTTCTTGCACAGTATTCCGTCTGAGATGTTACTTCAGTTGTACCATCAGCAAGTCATTCCATTGCTCTCTCGGGTTGGCTCCTCTGCAGAGGGTGGTATATGAAAAGACCAATGGGTCCTATGATCATGAGATCACTCCTAGACCTCCAGTACGAAGTGGGTCACTGGTTGGATGCTATGATGCATGGAGGTTCTGTGTTTATGGATCAGGT